ACTGCAGATAACAGTCAGCTGAAGTAGCCTGCAGTGCTGCATTTAACCACTGCGCCACCTCGGCTCTTTCCAGCTTTCTTCCCCGCCACCCTTGAAGTCAACCGCGCTTCCCTTTTTTTTTCCTCCCGCAGGATCCTGTTCTGTTGCTGGTTCCCGTGGATGCTGCGTGCGGAAATGCAGCCGTAGAGTTTCACCCCCCTCCTGCGCCCTCCTCTTCCTCCGCTCTTCCTCCGCTCTTCCTCTGCTCTCCACGTAATCAAAGACTGCTCTTCGGATCTGTCGCTCACCTCCTCTCCTGCTCCCCACCTCCACCACCATCCTAGTGAACCCAGTGCCTTGCTAGATCACATGACCACCCTAGTAGATCGTGAGAAACGCTGAACCCCCTCCCCTCCCGTTTGTCCCCCCCCCCGTTTTTCTGAGCTGTGGCACCACTGGTCTCTTCTAGCACTTCTTCTGAGGATCTGGCAACGGCCATGAGAGTCATTTTTCTACCGGGGGTCGGGGTACAGGGGTGGGGGGGGGGAGGACGTCCCTTCAGTTATGCTTGGGGGGGCCCAAGCATAACTTGGGGGGGGCCAAGCTTCTCTGAGCTTTCCCGCAGTCAGGGAATGTATAGTCCAGCTAGGAGATCTTCACTGCAAAGTTCACACCTCGCAAATCCAGTTGGCTTCCTTGGACAACCTTTCGTCTGCGGTGGAATAAGACCTCCTGGCTTGGGGCAGGGGGTTGGACTAGAAGACCTTTGAGATCCCTCCCAGCTCTAGGCTTCTACGATTCTAAAATTGAGTCTGCAGGCTGAGGGAGACAACGGTCTCCCCTTAGTTTTTAACTCACCCGTCCCTTGGAGTGACGGGCGTAGGAAACCGGCACTCTCGCTTCTAAACCTGCTGGCTGGGGGGGGGGATTCTGGGTGTTGTAGTCCGTGCACATTTCCCACGTTGCCAAGTTTGAAAAACACTGCCTTGGTCCAACGTAGACCACCAAGGCTCCGTTGAGGAGGGGCTGTGGTCAAGGATCCCTCTGTTTGGTTGACCGGTTAGGATCCTAGTCCCAAACACGCGCCTTCTTTGAACATCAAGCTAAGATTCCCTCCAGAATCGTGGCTTGTTCTTCCATGCCAACGCAGGCCTCCCTGAAAACCCTCGGCATCTCCCTTATATCTTCCTCCTAAGCTTTGCGCATCTTGTGTGTCGCCAATCGAACCATTTCAGAAGCCGGACGCTTCTCCTCCGCCGAGTAGCAAACCTCTGCGGATTTTGCTAACTCCTTAACTCTTCTTGATCAAGGCGGATTTGAAGGCGGCTTGAAATCCCCTCCCTGTTTTGCGACTAACGCGTGAGCAGGATGGGCCCCCCCCGAGGGCCAACGCCTTTGCCCACCGATGCCGTAAGTAGCCTCTCTCTCGTTAGCCACCTTCCTTTCTAACCGAAAACCTCCGTCTTTGGATGACCGACGCAACAAGACAACTTCAAGGGAAACCTAGTGTGTGTTAGCAGCCCTGCTTAGCTTATGTCCAATGTGCAAATGAACATACAGGGAGGGGTGTGTAGTGTTTGCGTGTCTCTCTGTGTGTAAGTACAGTTACCAGAAGTCTGTTCTCTTTTTTTTTTGTTTTTGTTTAAAAAGCAAAAGGCAGGGGAAGATATTATAACTCAATCTGATCTTAATCTTGCATATTTCAGCTACAGAGCATTAGATCTTAATCCAGAAGGGGTTTTTTTTGTCCACAGGCTGGGGAATTCTGGGAGTTGAAGTCCCCCCCGCACTCTTCATTCCAGTGCCCGAGTTTGCAAAAACACTTGTCTTAATCCATTTTAGTAAGACGTCAGCCCTTTTACTTATAGCTTCCTCTCTTAGTTGAACTGAACGTAGTTTTCACGGACTTTGGGGGAGGGCAAAATGGTACAACTCGGGGGGGTCCCGAGGGCTACACCTGGGTTGTGGGTGTGAAGAATGAACTCCCAGTGCCAACTCAGAAAGCAGAAACGGGGTGCTGATGGTGGTATGATTTTCTAAGGAGAAATGTTGATGTTTCTCCATTCGCCCTTGACCCGCGTTGAAGTTCTTCCATCATCTGCTTTGAAGCCGACCCTGAAGTCTACAATTTTCTCCTGGCTTGGGGGGCAGGTCCCTCCCCTCCGTGTGGCCTTGAGCAAATTGCTCACCTGGCCGTCCCTCTTCCAAATTTCTTGTCTTTTATCACCTAGGTCAACCCACAAGGGAGAGATGGGAAGAACCGTTGACTTGAGACGGAGGTCAAGGTTGACCCTCTATGCCTTCAGCCTTTTGTGCTGTTGTGCAGAAATCCAGGAAGGTTGGGCTTTGCAAGGACAGGTATCCAGGGATAAGGACGCTGGACAACTTTTTGTCCAAAGCACCTGAGGGTAGGTCAAGAAGTAATGGATGGAGACGAATCAAGGAGAGAACCAACCTAGAACGAAGGAGGAATTTCCTGACAATTCCCACAATCATTGGAATGGCTTCCCTCCAGACGTTGTGGGTGCTCCATCAACTGGAGGCTTTGAAGAAGAGAGTGACAGAGCCATTTGTCTGGAATGGTATAGGATAGAGGCGTCCAACCTTGGCAAATTTGTGGACTTATGGTTAGCTGGGGAATTCTGGGAGTTGAAGTCCACAAGTCTTAAAGTTACAAAGTTGGACACCCTGGAACAGGATTTCCTGCTTGAGAGGACCTCCAAGATCTAGTTCTAGGATTCTATGTTCTATGCTCTTTGAGTGCCCCTTTCATAGGTGGGGTACTAAAACATACGATGAAAGGTTGCAGGAACTGGGTATCCCAACAAAGAGAAGGACTAGGGGTGACATGGTATCAGTCTTCCAGCATTTGAGGGGTTGCCACAGAGAAGAGGGTGGTCAGCCTATTCTCCAAAGGAGAAGGAGAAGAAAGTGTATGGAAACTAATCAAGGAGAGATCCAACCTAGAACTAAAGAGAAATCTCCTGATAGTTGGAACAATTAACCAGTGGAACAGCTTGCAACCAGAAGTTGTAGGTGCTTCATCTCTGAAGGCTTTGAAGAAGACACTGGACAGAATGACATGGGGTCTCCTACTTGAGTTGAATTGGGTTGGACTAGAAGACCTCCAAGGTCGCTTCCAACTCTGTTATTGTGGAATAGCTGTTAAAAAGACCACAATATTCCATTTGGAAAAAAATGGGGTGAACATCAGAAGGGGAGATGGTGTGGGCATCTATTTTTGGACTGGTTTTAAAAAGGAAAAAGGAAGGGTGGCATTCGGGCCACAAGAAGGAGCTCCAAGCTGGCTGAAATATTGGGGACCTTTATGTACAGATATATATAAAGCGATATTTTAAAATAACCCAAAATGGCTTACATCGAATCTTCCAACGCATTTCATCCCGCATCCTTCCCATTCTCATCGTTGTGTTGTGGGGAATCTGATCTTTTGAGCCCCCAGTTTAGACCCACGTTTCATTCTCATCGAACCAGCTTTCCATAAACTGGCTCTCCCCCCCTCCCACCCCAATGAATTGGGATCACAGTTGCCAACACTGCTGGATTTTTAATAAAATAAAAATAATAATAATAACAACCAGAGCCGTCTTGGAAGATGCCAGATTATAGGAAAACGGCTGGAAACATTTCAGTTCGCTTGTCCACCCTCTTGACACTGACTAGCAATAAACAAAACTTTTGGTTGACTTCAGTTGGACGTCGGGCACAATCTTGGTCCGTGTCCCCCCCATCTTCTGAACGGAACAGGGCATCCCCCCCCTGCCCTTGAATTATCCACCAGGACTGGCCTAACCCTCAAAAAGGCATAGGCCAGCCTGGAGAGCAACATCTCCAGATGTTTCTTTCTTTCCGTAGAGATCACGCAG